GACAATGGCCTTGGTGACTCTGGATGTGCGTGATCCTCCACACTCTATTCAGATCCTGTGTTCTGTCCTTGGCCTGCCTGCCACACTCCCCACCTCTCACGTTTAACGCTCTCTATGAGCAGGTTGAGGACACAACATCTGCATTAGTGCAGCTTCCTAGAATCCACATTACCCATTCATTCACTCATGGAAGACATGTAGGCGCCTGGTGACCACATATGCAAGGAGCCATGGCATATCGGGAACACGACATGGCCCTTCCTTTCCTTAGCACAGTTTCCATTCACAAGAGCTGAGGCACAGCCATCATTAACCCCAAAGTCCACGAACTTGTGAAGAGTCTGGAGGGGCTGCTCAGGCAGAAGCGACAAATGCCATCGGTAGTAGGGACAGTAGTGGACATAAAGGAAAGAGTTCATGCAGACAGAATCCCAGACAGACAGGAAGCCAGTGTAATGAGGGAGAGGAGTAAAAACAAGAGAGGTACTGCTGAATTAATGTTGTAATATGATTACAAAAGGTAGGAGAGTTGAAATAATATAGATCCATTCATCACCATTCACTCTTTCTGCTGTGCAGGACAAGGCTGTGCCATCCGTGGGCCTCTCTGATTGAGGGAGAATGGGCATGTGGCCAGAGATGTGTGATTGTGTTGGGCCACAGAAATGGGCTCATGGGGGTGTCCATGGGCATAGTTAAGAGAGAGAAGGAAAACAAGAAGAAGGGAGGCCAGCGGTTTGGCTTATTCAGTTCTTGACCCATTGAATTCTAGGAACCCTGCCTCCTCCCGGACATGAGTCATTGGCGGGGCTTCCCTGTCTTGTGACTCACCCACCTGTGACAGAGGCTCCTTGCTTTATACCAAGTTTGAGCCTAATGCCTGCTAATATTTCTCATCAAAAATTAACCCGAGTAACCTCCTCTTTCTTCTCTGAGTCACCCACATCCTTAAAACTGCCCTGGATAATCACAGTTCCTACATAGGTTGTTGTGTGAACTGAAAGTGTTAATATGTGTGGAAAGTGCTTAGAACACAGAACTTAAACACATGCTCTGATTACTATGATCATTACCCGCAATGTTGATTTTAAGCAAACCATATTATCCCGGCCACACTACCATGACCTGCAGCCTTGGGACTGCACAGCCTTCTTCTGTCAGTCAAATATGGAGGGATGACATCTCTGGAGCCAGCACAGCCAATCTGGAGGTAGGGGAGGTGACAGTGGTGGGACCTCATGCTTCCTGATAGTTATTGAGGTCCCTGCTGTCATCTGCTCCACCGGACTGTGGGCTCCAGGGAGCAGTATTCACACAGGGCTCATTTGTCCTTCCCCAACTCAGGCACAGATTTTCCCAGAGTAAAGGGCTCCTCGTCTACCTGATAAATGAACCACTCCTACCCCCGCCGCCAAGCACAGACAGTGAGACTAGCTGTGGCCTTAGCTCACTGCATAAGGACAGCCTCCAGCTGTAGCAGGGGCAGAGGACCCTGTAGAGCTCTGTAGACTCTGTTGAGAACCACAGGCAGGAGCTTCCAGGGGCCAAGTGCAGGGCAGAGATTGGGAGAAGCAGCTGCTCCTTGCAGAGGACATGTCCAGTGTCTGCTGAGACGGACTGTGGGTGCCTGAGAAGAAGCCACCCAGGGAAGGGAAGATTAGATTGCGGCCCATGCAGGGCTAAGAGATCTGCATGTTCCTGTTCCCCTTCCCACAGTGGACAGACCACATGCCAGGGGTGCTGGCTAGTTACCATCAGAAGTTGACCACTATACCCTTAGTAGTTAACTAAATGAGCCTCTGAATAAGGAAACTGAACACAAGGTTAACTACATATGGTTATATGTAGTTAAAAGCTAGTATCAGAGGAGCAAACTGATCCTCAGTTTTCTAATTGTGACCAGAGTAATACTCAATAGACTTTGAAAGAACGCAATGATGTTCAGTACCTAAGAAAGCAAAATTCACAATGCCATGCAATAAAAAATTACTATGCATGGAAAAAAACCAAAAATGTCCCCACAGGCAGGAAAAAAAAAATGCAGTCAACAGAAACAGTGGCATGATAACAGATATAATGGTGTTGATACATTAAAGACCTTAAAACAGGTCATCTAAAGCTTACAAATATACTCAAGGATATTTAAAAAAGAGAAAAACAAAACACACATACCCAAACTCACAGGCTGGGCATGGTGGCCCAGGCCCATAATCCCAACACTTTGGGAGGACAACGTGGGAGGATTCCTTGAGCGCAGGAGTTTGAGACCAGCCTGGGCAACATGGTGAAACCCGGTCTCTACTAAAAATACAAAAATTAGCCAGGCATGGTGGCAAGCGCCTGTGGTCCCAGGTACTTGGGAGGCCGAGGTGGGAGGATCACTTGAGCTCAAGAGGTTGAGGCTGCAGTGAGCTCTGACTGTGCCACTGCACTCCAGCCTGGGTGACAGAGTAAGACCCTGTCTCAAAAAAGAAAAACACATAGAAGATCAGGAAATAAATGAAAGATACTAAAAAAGCCAAAAGAGAACTTCTAAAGTTCAAAAAAAAAAAAAAATCTGATATACAGTAGATGAGATTAACAGCAGGTTACATTCTGCAGAATCAGATCAATGAACTTGAAGAGCCCTCACTGGGAACTACTCAAAGTGAAGCACAGAAAATGATGGGGCAAAAAAAAGAATAGATACTAAGTTAACTCTGATACAAAATCTAACATTCTAACGTAAATGTATTAAGACCACGGTCACCAGAAGAGACAGACAGAGTATTTGAAGAAATAATGGCTGAAAATCTTCCAAGCAGAACATAAACTCAGCCGGGCACGGTGGCTCACGCCTGTAATCTCAGCGCTTTGGGAGGCCGAGGCGGGCGGATCTCGAGGTCAGGAGATCGAGACCATCCTGGCTAACACGGTGAAACCCCGTCTCTACTAAAAATACAAAAAATTAGCCGGGCATGGTGGCGGGCTCCTGTAGTCCCAGCTACTCGGGAGGCTGAGCCAGGAGAATGGCGTGAACTCGGGAGGCAGAGATTGCAGTGAGCCAAGATCGCGCCACTGCACTCCAGCCTGGGCAACAAAGACGACACTCCATCTCAAAACCAAACAAACAAACAAAAAAACATTAACTCTAAAACCCCAAATCCAAGAAATTCAACATAACTCTGTTGTGGCTTCCTTCCTTCGTTCCTTCCTTCCTTCCTTCGTTCCTTCCTTCCTTCCTTGTTCAACACAACTCTGTTGTGGCTTCCTTCCCTCTTTTTTTTTTTTTTTTTGGAGTCTTGCTCTTGTCTCCCAGGCTAGAGTGCAATGGCACCATCTCTGCTCACTGCAACCTCTGCCTCCTGGGTTCAAGTGATTCTCCTGCCTCAGCCTCCCAAGTAGCTGGGATTACAGGCGCCCACCTGGCTAATTTTGTATTTTTAGTAGAGACAGGGTTTCACCATGTTGGTCAGGCTGGTCTTGAACACCTGACCTCATGTGATCTGCCCGCCTCCGCCTCCCAAAATGCTGAGATTACAGGCATGAGCTACCGGACCCGGCTGTCGTGGCTTTCTTTACAGAAAAATCTCCAAGGAGAACATAAACTCTAAAACCACAAATAAGAGAAATTCAACACAACCCAGTTGTGGCTTTCTTTACAGAAAAAATCTTCCAAGTAGAAAGAACATAAAAGTCGAAAGCCAAAAATCCAAGAAATTCTTTATAGAGAAAAAACACAACAGGGCAAACAAACCAAATCACTGCAAACCAGTGCTAAGAAAAATCATAAAAGCAGCCAGAGACCAAAGATCCACCACCCACAGAGAAGCAAGATGCCGTGGGAGCCTAGGCCCACAGAAACCACAGCAGGAGGGGGAGGCCGAGGCCCCTGTACACCTTCCTCACCAAGAGGATTCCGCCCTCCCTCCACTCAGAGGTGATACCAAGGACACACAGTGGTGTGGGGTGGAAACACTGAACTCAGCATGAGGTGTGTAACAATATCCCATAAAACTCCAGTGCTTCACAATGGTATTCTTTAGGCCAACACCAGCATTCTCTTGACCTTACTTTCACGGTTCCTCCTCTCCCTTCCTGCCCCTCTGTACAGTCTTGAGTTAGGTCTCGGCCCACAGACTTCCCCTCGCTGAGCTACGGTCTCCTCCTCTGTAAAGTGTGACGATTCACAATCTCTCCCGTCGCTGAGCACACCGTGCTGTTCCCTACAAAGCCGACCCTTTGTCCCTTCCCCATTATCACAGATCCTTGCCGAGAGGTGGCAAGAAAGGCTCTTGCCAGACCAAAATGCAGCTGCTGTTATCAAGCAGGTCAGGCCCCAAGTGCCACAGACTCCCTTCTCCTAAATCTCATTTTCCCAAGGAACCCCAAACACCGGCATTGGCGATGAGCGGCCCCGCGCGCGTAGGGGCGCAGCCGCTAAGGAGAGGAAGGGTCCTCTCCAGCTGCGCCCGCAACCGCTCCCGCGCGCGGAACGGAACCACTGGGACGCAGCGACCACAGGGGAGTTCTTCACTGGTCGCGGGTTCAAAGCGATCTGCAATGAGCACCTTTAGGAATTCATTCGAAGGCGCAAAAGGAAAAGAAATTAAGGCAGGAACTGATCGAGGAAGGAAGGGAGGGAAAGAAAGAAAGGAAGAAAGAGAAAAAGAGAAAGAAAGAAAAATAAAGTAAGGAAAGAAAACAAAATCAAAGTCCGAGGACGTCTCTGTGGCTTCACGTGGCTTACTCGGGAATTCCCACCTTGTCGCGCACCCTCACTGGATTCGGGAATTTACACCAAGTGGAACGCGCGCTCTGCTCCTTCGCGGCCCGGGTCGCTCCTGCCCAGCCCGGGGACCCGGCTCTTCCCCCGACTCCGGCGACTGGTGCGTCTTGCCCGGACATGCCCGGCCGCAGGCGACCCGGGCCACGCACCCCCATAGTGTCCCCCTCTCTCCCTGCCCGCTCCCGGCGCCAGGAGCGCTCTTCCCCAGCCAGGGACCGCGGCGGGGACTCACCGACAGCAGGACTGCGGCGGCTGCAACGACGAGCACAAGGGTCTTGAGGACACGGAGCCCAGGCCTGGCTCCCCGCGCCTCCCTGGGTCCTGGGCCGCGCCCTTTCCGGGCCCCCGAAGCGGCCGGGGCGCTCTGTCTCAGTTGTCCCATGGCAGGAGGGAACGCTCTTCGCCCCCCAGGCCCGTAGGTTTCAACTCTTAAAGTAGATCGGACGTCAGTCCGTGTATTTTGTGGGCACAGAGATTGCGGGGTTCGCGGGACACGTGCTGATTTCTGTGTCCAGGATGAGTTGGGGCGGCGCGGCTGTACTTTCACAGCCCCCAGGCAGGCGTCATTCGGGGCGGGGCGAATCAGAGCCAATACGCAACTGCAAATTCCGCCACAGGTTGGTGACAAAAAATAAATAAATAATAAGAGCCTTGTCAACGTAACGCTCTGCAAGCCCGTCCAAGTGGGGCGGGGAGGGGAAGGTATCGGAAAGTAACCTTCGCCCTGGCGGCTGCGCCCCGGGCTGTGGTTTGTTTCTGGGTCCTGTCTGCGCCAGGACAGGCACCGAAACTGGGGCAGAATGAGTTGAGGGAGGCGCCTGGGGAGTTGATGCCTCCCAGGGTCGCGCGCTTGGCTGTGAACAGACAGGGTCTTGAGGTTCAGAGTCCGCTTTCCAGGCAGGTCCTGATCCTCTCCCCTTCCCAGGGGCACCTGTCCTTCCTGTTCTCTTGTTTTCTCTCTTTCTTTCTTCTTTCCTTCTTTCTCATTTCTTTCCTTCCTTCTTTCTTCCTTCTCTTTCTTTCTTTCATTCTTTCTTTTCTTTCTTTCTTCTTTTTCTTTCTCTTTTTCTTTTCCTTCCTTCCTTCCTGCTTTCTCTTTCCTTCCTTCCTTTCTTTCTTTTTTTTCTTTCTTTCCTTTCCTTTTCTTTCCTCTCTTTTCTTTCCTCTCTTTCTTTCTTTTTCTTTTCTTTCTTTTGTGTGGTTTATTTTTTGAGACAGTCTCTCTGTGGCTCAGGTTGGTGTGCCGTGGTGTGATCCCGGCTCACTGCAACCTCCGTCTCCCAGGTTCAAGCAATGCTCCCATCTCAGCCTTCTGTGTAGCTGGTACTACAGGCCTGCACCACCACACCTGGCTAATTTTTGTAGTTTTAGTAGGCATGGTGGTTCACTATGTTGGCCAAAAGACCATTGAACTAAGGCAGGAGACCACCCCTCATATTGTCTTATGCCCAACTTCTGCCTCCAAAGAAAGAAGAAGTAAAAACTAAAAGGCAGAAATGAAATCCATAGGCAGACAGCCCAGCACCATGCCCTGGTCCTGGTAGTTAAAGATGGACCCCTGACCTAAGTGGTTACGTTATCTATAGATTCCAGACATTGTATGGAAAAGCATTGTAAAAAATCCCTGTCCTGTTCTGTTCCGTTCTGATTACCGGTGCGTGCAGCCCCCTAGTCACGTACCCTCTGCTTGCTCAATCAATCACAACCTTCTCACATGGACCCCCGTTAGAGTTGTGAGCCCTTAAAAGGGACAGGAACTGCCCACTTGAGGAGGTTGGCTCTTGAGACAGGAGTCTTGCCAATGCTCCTGGCCAAATAAACCCCTTCCTTCTGTAACTCGGTGTCTGATGGGTTTTGTCTGCAGCTCTTCCTGCTACAGAACCCAACTTACGCTCACACCTAATCCACAGATGTGTCTGTGTCCCTGCACCCTTGCTACACTTAGCTTTCATTTGTCACTAGTCTAGGAAATAAAACATGATACATCACATTGTTAGGTATTTTCATTCCTTCATGGTACTAGGGATTTTCAAGGATACAGGAGTTTTTGGTACTGGGAATAGATGACCAAGGGATCCAGACAAGACAGCAGTGGAGGGCGGCAGGGAAGACTGAATTCTCAGCTGTGCACTTGGAAAACCGTGGTCAGCTGGGGCCAGTCCCTGCCACCCACCATGCCTGTGAATGGAGATAAGGTCTCTGTCCTCAGGCTGTCAGGAGGACATCAGATGAGCCTGGAGCTGAGCTCAGTTCCTGACCCCAGGTCCTGGCTCTGTCAATGCTGGGCTGGTCCAATCTCTATGCCAGGTCCTTCCACCCCATCCCTCTCTTTATCAAAACAGGAATCAAGAAGATCCGAAGGCTCAGCTTTCAGGTTGTCAGAGTACTGAAACTGGAGGCTGTGGATGGCTGGGCCCTGCCATGCTCCCAGTCCAGCTTTGTGACTCTGGTGTGGCCCCAGCTCCTTCCTGTAAAATGAGGAGATAAAAATCTTCAGCAGCTCTGTGTAAACTTCTGCAGGCTCTGTTAACAGGTCTGGGAGGACAAATTGCATCCTCAGGGCTGGTGTCAGTCACTCTGGACTCTGGATCCCCAGGGCACATGTCCTCCACCCAGCAGAGGCTGCACCTTCTCCTACCTGCACCTCAGTACCAGCTCTCTGAGCTTGGGGCAGAAGCTTCTGAAGACTGGGGTGGAGCACCATGTGGAGAGGCCATGGAGGAACAGAGGAGCCAGAATTCAAATGAGGACAGCAATGGCACTGCAGGGTCACAGCCTGGTTTACCTGCCACGCTTCCAGTTGTCCTTCTGGTGGGCGCCCAGCCCATGCCCCAGTTTGAAGAGTGAGCAGGAAAGGTCTCAATCCACGTGGCCACAGATGGCTGTTCACCCAGCCTCTACTGAGAGACCACGGTCCCGGTTCCGGTCCTCTGTCCTGTATCCAGGAGTGGCAGGGCAGTCAGGCTCTAGCTTCCAGGTTGGGGGTGGGGAGAGTGGGGACAGTGGGGACAGTGCCATGCCCTGAGCCTGTGCTGTTGGGCAGCTGGTGTCCTGCTCCCAGCCAAAGACTGCACATCTTCATGTAGTGGATTTTCCTAACAACCCGGGGAGATGAGGGTAGATCGTTTTCCATGTTTTACAAGGGGCAAAATGAGATTCAGGAGCAATGTCTCCAGCAATTTTGGCCTCACCTTCTGTATAATAGCAGCCATATTTGGGCCTCTGCAGGGCTAGAGTTCTCTGAGCAGCTGCTTCTCTGATCTCTGTCCTGCACTTGGCCTCTGGGAGCTCCTGTGGGTCCTCAGCAAAGTCCACAGGGCCCTCCCTGTGCTGCAGCCTGGAGCCTGTCCTTAGGCAGTGAGCTGAAGCCACCACTGCACTTACCTCATGGGCTTTTGGGGAAAATGATTCACCCAGGAAGTAGACAGTGAGCCCTTTACTCTGGGAACACCTGTGCCTGGGGTCTGCTGGCGGCAGGGAGGACAAACAAACCCCATGTGAATCCTGCTCCCCGGAGCCCACAGTGTGGAGGGAGAGGTGACACTAGGGGACATATAACTAATAGGAGGTAGCATGAGGGAGGCCTGAGAGCTCACCACCCTGGCCTCCCCCTCCTCCAGAGAGGCCGTGCTGGAGGGAGGCCGTGCAGCTGTAAGGCCATAGGATGTGGTATTGTTGGCCTGGAAGATGTGGTTTGATTACAGCCACCAATGAGGGTCATGGAGGGAAGCTAAGTTCCCCTTTAAGGGTTGGTTGGTTTGTTTGTTTGTTTGTTTGGCTGGGCCTGAGAATTAAATTGACATAAGACAGATCCACAGGAGAAAAGCACACAAATTAATATGCAAATTTTACATGGCACAGAAGATATAGTGAGAGTCAGTTACTTATATACTGAATTAGACCAAGTAACTTGTGAAGAAGCAAGTAAATATGTGGAAGCTAAAAAGATGAGTGATTCTATTCTTTTTTTTTTTTTTTAAATATCTGCTCCTTTAAGGAATAAAAAAGACAAGCTTACCTTTTAAAATGTATTTTATATATGTATACAATCTAAATTTATTTTTCTCTCCTTATCCCTGAATACTTTATTATTTTATTTTACTTTAAGTTCTGAAATACATGTGCAGAACATGCAAGTTTGTTACACAAGTATACATTTGCCATGGTTGTTTGCTGCACCTAACAACCCATTATCTAGGTTTTAAGCCCTGCATGCATTAGGTATTTATCCTAATGCTCTCCCTCCCTTTGCCCCTCACCCCCTGACAGGCCCCAGTGTGTGATGTTCCCCTCCCCATGTCCAAGTGTTCTTATTGTTCAACTTCTACTTATGAATGAGAACATGCAGTGTTTGGTTTTCTGTTCCTGTTTTAGTTTGCTGAGAATGATGGCTTCCAGCTTCATCCATGTCCCTGCAAAGGACATGAACTCATTCTTTTTTATTGATGCATAGTATTCCGTGGTGTATATGTGCCACATTTTTTTTATTCAGTCTATTATTGAAGGGCATTTGGGTTGGTTCCAAGTCTTTGCTATTGTGAATAGTGCCACAGTAAACATACGTGTCCATGTCTCTTTATAGTAGAATGATTTATAAATCCTTTGGGCATATACCCAGTAATGGGATTGCTGGGTCAAATGGTATTTCTGGTTCTAGATCTTTGAGGAATCGTCACACTGTCTTCCACAATGGTTGAACTAATTTACACTCCCACCAGCAGTGTAAAAGTGTTCCTATTTCTCCATAGCCTCACCAGCATCTGTTGTTTCCTGACTTTTAAAATAATCATCATTTTAACTGGCGTGAAATAGTATCTCATTGTGGTTTTGATTTGCATTTCTCTAATGACCAGTGATGATGAGCTTTTTTTCATATGTTGGTTGGCCGTATAAATGTCTTCTTTTGAGAAGTGTCTGTTCATATCCTTCACCCACTTTCTGATGGTTTTATTTTTGTTGTTGTTGTAAATTTATTTAAGTTCCTTGTAGATTCTGGATATTAGACTTTTGTCAGACAGGTAGCTTGCAAAAACTTTCTCCCATTCTGTACATTGCCTGTTCACTCTGATGATAGTTTCTTTTGCTGTGCAGAAGCTCTTCAGTTTGATAAGATCCCATTTGTCAGTTTTGGCTTTTTTTGCCATTGCTTTTGGTGTTTTAGTCATGAAGTCTTTGCCCATGCCTATGTCCTGAATGGTATTGCCTAGGTTTTCTTCTAGGATTTTTATGGTTTTGGGTTTTACATTTAAGTCTTTAATCCATCTTGAGTTAATTTTTGTACAAGGTGTAAGGAAGGGGGTCCAGTTTCTGTTTTCTGCATATGGCTAGCCAGTTTTCCCAGCACCATTTATTAAATAGGGAATCCTTTTAATAGATTGTTTGTTTTTGTCAGGTTTGTCGAAGATCAGATGGTTGTAGATGTGTGGTGTTATTTCTGAGGTCTCTGTTCTGTTTCATTTGACTGTATATCTGTTTTGGTACCAGTACCATGCTGTTTTGGTTACTGTAGCCTTGTAGTATAGTTTGAAGTCAGGTGGCGTGATGCCTCCAGTTTTGTTCTTTTTGCTTAGGATTATCTTGGCTATATGGACTCCTTTTTGGTTCCATATGAAACTTAAAGTAGCTTTTTCTAACTCTGTGAAGAAAGTCACTGGCAGCTTGATGGGAATAGCATTGAATCTATAAATTACTTTGGGCAGAATGGCCATTTTCATGAAATTAATTCTTTTTATCCATAAGCAT